TCAGCAACCATTGTTTGGTACGTCGGCTGAATAGTGTATGATTTCTGGAGTCTTGTGTCTTGTGCATTTTGAGGGGTCCTCCATGTGGAAGACTTTTTGTTGCCATGTAATGCAAGTTGTGGAATAATCAAATATGAGTCTATGACAATCATAAGAAAAATCGAACAAGACAGCTGGTTTATTTATTTTTCTATTTTTGATAATTTTACTTTAATATGTGACATGAGTGACACCAACATAAGTTATAACCGGTTGCCCAATTAGGTAGACTACGGTTAGGGCATGTTTATTAGGTATTCATGTGTATATAATTATAGGAACAGGATCCTCTCTGGATTTCTTCCATTCGGATTCTTCGAATTCTTCAAATATCATATAAGTTCAACTAAAAATAGAACGTCCAGGAAAATGATCAGACAGCCTTGACACCATCAAAATGAGAAGAATCTGCGATGGTAGTAGCGGCCTCGAAATCCTCTACCTCGAGATCCGCAACGATGGTGTTGACAGCGGGAGGGTTAAGAAGGGCGTAGATGTCGAAGGAGACAATGCCATCGTTGAGATCGTAGTCGGGATTGAGGTTTCAATCAATGGCTTCACGGCCCTATTCAAACCTAGGGCACAACTTTCACTTAGACAAAAAATAAATAATTCTCATTTCACATTTTATTTTTCTATTAAACTGTAAGAGACTTGTTCAACACTTGTTCCCCATGGTTTCATTACGTTCTAATACTTTATAATCTATATGTCATTTTATCCGTTCAAAGCCCATGTTTTAAAATATCTAGCCCGGAACTTTAGGAAGGAAAAGAAGGTTGTTGCGGGACTTTTAGGTCAAGGGGGACTTGGGCATTGAGAACGTCCTCTTGTCTCCCTTGGTTCGGTTTCGTACCAAGTCCTGGAATATCTCAAAAGAGTTAGCTTGTTTTAAGAAATATTCGGGTTAGATCAATGACTCAAAGATAGCATGATTAAGCAAATAATGGCTTGCTCAAGTGAGACATGGTGTGGAAGCTAGAAGTTCATCAGTTTGGTATAAGAGATAGAAAGAGTTGGCATGGTTGTATGGTGGTCTAGGTTTGATAATCTAGGCTTTCTAGGTTATAAAGAGGCTTTCCTTGACTGAAAGGGTTGAAGGAAGTCTGGAGGAAAACTCTAAGGTTGCAGAAAGATGGTTTTGTGTTTCTCTCTCCAATGTTTGAACTCTCTCATGCGTTATGATGTTCCCCTGTTTCTAATGTCTTCTGATACCTCTTTTGTAGGTTAATGACTCCTTTCTAGGGTTCCTAAGGAATCTCTATTTGTGGCTTGGTCTTCTCTCCCCTTTCTCCTGACCTAGCGGTAACATTTCCTTTTGGTGTAAGATAGTTAAACGCAGCTGCTCACGCGAAGACTCCATTTTGACTCCTTCCTGAGGTGTTGCTTTCCTGGGTCAGTTTTTTACAGGCATTACTTTTGGTAATGCATTTCTTGGCTTTCATGCGTTTGTCTTCTGCGTAAGCTAGGAAGGGAATGTCTGCTCTTCATCAACTACATGTCTCGCTAGACTTTCACGTGACTCTAAGGCTCAAGGCTTGGTTCCTTCCTAACTAAATTGGTTAGCTTGCTAGGGAAAGGAAGAAACTAGGTTTGCTCTCTTAGACTTACCCACATGGAATTCAAAGGTTATTGGCTTGGACTTTTAGGCTCACAAGCAACCCAAAGTCTTCCATAATCTTGACTCCACGTAGGCCCAATGAACTTCCGTAACCATCCACACCACAATTCACTTGACAAACCCCGGGTATATGACTTGGGCTTATCTTAGCATGATAAAGCTTGGCGTGATAAATATGCATGAGTTTGCACGAGCGTGGCGTGATTTACATTAATGTGTGGCTTGATTAACGTAGCATAGCATGATTACGAACATAACTCCTTCTCGATTCCTCACCTTTGCATGTAATGGGGGCTCAGCTTGAGGCTTGTACAACAATTGGGCCTTGAGACTTGATTGGGTTTGCATGTAACATTTTTGGGCCTTAAAAAAAGTTAAATTGGACCCATTGTTTGACCATAGATGCGAACCTTAGCCAATACCATCATCTAGTCTTCGGGCTACAAGGTATATAGGGTGAGAGCCCGCTAAGGAACCCAGTAAAGTGCACTACACCCAATACGTACTTATTTTCAGGACAGCTTGATTCAGCATAGTGCAGTGCAACATTGGAAGTTAATTAAGAAGCATGTATTCCAATACAATTACCTATTTTTTAAAAGTATTAGTAGACATTATTTATATGTTATACAATAAATTTAATTAAAATTGAAAAAATTGCCTAAGTCTCTACCTAGACGCTGGGCCCCTGCCCGCCGTTTGACTAGCGTCGAGCACCTTTTAGAACCTTGCTAGTTGCTCAGCTAAAAAACTATTACAAAAATGTTTTATGCATTGCTATCATTATATTCACCTGAATCATCACCAATTTTCAAATTTATCATGCGTTTTCATCCGAAAAGTTAACTAAAGGTCACCCTTTATCTATTTATGTGAACTTATTCATAATATTTTTTTTTTTCAATTACTCACACTATGTTTTGAAGATATAATGTCTCTCATTTGAATGTAAAAATACCAGTCAATTTAAGGTGAAAATATTTATAAACTATATACAAATTTTCCTTGTACAATATCAAATACAAATAACTTCATTTAATAGTTCATCAAAGATCAAATCCTCAATTACAATATCTAAAGGAAATTCCGATCATGCTGCTTGTGGAGGAGTTTGTAGGAATTGCCATGGTCATTTTCTTGGTGGTTTCTACCAATGGATTGGTTATTGCAACTCTTTTTTTGCAGAATTATCTGTAATTATTATTGATGTAGAGTTTGCAAATCAATTGGGTTGGCATTGTCTTTGGTTCGAAAGTGACAGCTCTAGTGTTATTTCTGCTCTTCAATCGTCTGATTTTGATTCTCCATGGCCTCTTCGTAGACAATGGTCTATTTGTTTGGACCACATCCAGAAAATGACTTTCTACTCATCTCACATATATCGGGAGGGAAATTTTGTTGCGGATAATTTTGCTAATATGGGCGTATCTTCTCCAACTTTAACTTGGCATGATTCTCCTCCGCCAACAGCTCGTTCTGCATTGTTTTCAGACTATGTTGGCTTGCCTGGTTACCACTTCTCAAATTAATGTGCATCTTGACATCCGGGTTTGTCTTACTTTCTTTCTCTTTTTTTTTTCCCTAACTTTGTGGTGTTGCTCAACTTGTTTTGCAGGTTTAGACCTTTAGGTTTGGTTTCAGAGGGGTTAGGTTTCATGTCCCCTCCTGTTTTCTTTGTATCTCTCTTATTTTCGTTTTTAGAAGGGTACGGTTTATGTCCCCCCCCCCCTTTCTTTTTCATGTATTGTTTTTGTTACCTCTGTTTTATGAGGGGTAAGGTTATGTCCCCCCTGTCTAGGTGTATCTTATATTTTTTTGTTATCAATAATATTTCCCTTGTACCGTCGAGGTTCCCCAAAAAAAAAAAAAAAAAAGTGCCACGCTCAGTTTCCCATTGTAGGTTCATCCAACGATCGCCCTTCACCAAATATCGAGCCACAACATCATCCAGTGACTGATCCATCTCCGGCCTCAAGCTCAGATATGATCTTACTCTTGTCCAGACTCATCGAGAAGATGTTGCCCCTTCGGCATTGGACGAATGCAGCCATTGGATGAGAAGGTCCTTGGGAACTAGGTGTATAATTTCTCATGGACCTCAAGGAGTGTCTCATTAACTAAATCAAACAGGAGGCGGTGATCCCAATTGTCCGATGTAACCTGGTCTTCGTATGTTCCGGTTTCATGCAAAACAATTATCCAATTCCTTGAACATTGTAAGATCCAGAGGTTGGTCTAGTGAGTAGCGTGCTCCGAGGTGATCATCGCCAATTAATGAAGCCTGACAACTCAATAACGTATATCACATAACAGAATGTTTAAAGTCGAGGAGTGATTGTTTAAACTCAGGATAATGCGCTTTGTCCACTACAAAGCGCGAGGCGTGATTGTTTAAACTCTTACGTTCAATTTCAGTGCTTATAGTTTTGGAGGATGCTGGTAAAGAGTCTACGATGTGCCTGCCTTGTAGGTCAAGAGAAGAATCTGGTGTTAGACATATTCTGAAAACATAAGAACAACAAGACATTAGGATCATAAATACGATAAACCAAATTAACTATAAATAAATAAACTTATCTAGGGTTTCAAAGACATGGTTGCTAGGGTTTTGAATGGGTCTTCTACTTTTAGCAAGCGGAAGTGTCCCCGCACTAATAGGGTTTGCTCGGAATGGAACGTATATTTTGTGAAAGCAGGGACCGCCTATATATAGTGATAAGACTCCCACTAATCCGGCCTATTATTGATTAGTGGGATTTTACCAAATCATAGGATAACATTAGAGTCCTAGTTGATATTGATTTCTTGTTTAACCAAATAAGGCCTCTTGATTAATTGCACAAAATAAGGACTCCAAATCTTAATTAAAACGAGATTTCATAGTTGTTTCAACACCAATTAACTCATTGAACAAGTTAATTCATTGCCAAGAAATTAATAAATCATATTCATTGATACTCACAACCTTACATCTAGCTCATTCACATGTGGACTCCAAGATCTAACTCTGAACCTGAAACAATTTTTCCAAAATGAATGAGTAATGCTATTCATACCATGTTTTTATAACATATTTTAATACCACCTTAGGTGGCATCTGATGCGGACAGCCATATCATTTGAAAAATTTGCAAAACCCAGGGAAAGAGAGGAGAAAAACTCCTCGTATACCACAATCATCATTTAATTAACTAGTTTTTCTTAATTATTAGTTTATTAAATAATGAACTAAATTTAAAAATCTGATTAATTCAAATCATGTGGCTGCCCACGTTAAATGCCACCTAAAGTGGTATAAAAATGTGGTACAAAAACATGGTATAAATAGCATTACTCAAAATGAATTAAACAAAAAAATGCATTAGCACTTAACCATTGAGAGATAAATCCAGTTTTTTAACATCTTAAAAGATATAGCATTTCGATTCAATGATTGAAACTTGAGTAAAATAGTTTTAAGACTTGCACACACATGTGCAATTACAATGTCCCCCGCGTCAGCAAAATTTGCACCATTGTCACTTCTTTCTATAATACCATCTAGTTGACTGGTTGTTCAGGCTTATCTGTATCTGTATTTTGGTCCACGGCTTTTGTAACCGACATCCCCAAACGAAAAGCATCTTTAACCAGTGCCCCATTTAAGATGGAAGAAAAAGAGTCAAGATCGGGCAGTGATAGATTTCTTCTGGTGGACTTCTGGCAATGCTCATTGAAGGAACTTTTTCTTCACTTTAACTTTAAGCTCTTCGAACGGTGCTATTTTCTCTGATCGCTGCTGTACAGAAGGGCACAAATTAAAAAATTAGCTACTCCTATGTAAAAATAGTATGAAGAAATAGCACAAAAACAACCAAACCATGAACTAGCACGAGAGAATTCCATGAGCTTTTGGGCAAATTTAACATGCACTGGACTACAAATCAAGCACTTCCACTTTCGTAAATAGCTCGGAGTAATAGAAGATTTTCATTCAATATGAACTACATATCATAGAAGATTTGTCACTAGGGGTTTTAAATCTGTGTCCATCGGTTAGAAAAAACAAACATCACACTTGAACAGAGGAGAATATGTGACAGGGTGAACTGAGATAGCTTACGTCTGACTCGTCTTCCTCCTGCACGCTTTCCGTGGGAAGAAACTTCTTGACATTACTCCATTGATGGTAATCAAGGTTGCTCATTAGGCTCCACATGCAGCCCGGACGGTTTCCTCCAACACTTGAGTCCTGGTGCTGCAATTGCTTTCCCATTTTTTAGCTAAAGGGAAAGTATATATCAATCCTCAGAAATTCGATACCCAGTTGAGTATTAATCTCAAGATTCTCGACTACTGGACCAATCCCTTGTAAACCTGGAAAAAAGATAGAACAAAGAACAACCATGTAATCCATGTGTACAACCGACAGCTCGTTGGATAACCATTTCGCTTTTAGTTTTCATTTTGCTTCGACATACTTTTCCCCTATGTATAGCACAAACAAAGAAAAATGAAGACTACAAACTAAAAACAAAATGGTTATCAAATGAGGACTTAAAATTCAGATGAAGTTCACAGAGAACTTATATTAAACAGATCAAAACAAGAGGCATGTTTCTTATACGCTATTCTGAAATTCTTAGAGCTTTTAATTCAAAATTCAAAGGCGGGAGCAAATACCCAATTTTTCATACAAAAACAAAAAGCTAGGAACTTTACCGAAGTTCATCAATTTATACACGTTTGAGGTCCAAAAATACTCGAACCGAGAACAGAAAAGAGTTAATCCAACACGAACTAATTATCGTTGAACAAAACAACGCTTAGTATTTAATATGGGAGTTAATCAAACCTTAAAAGTAACAGAAACAGATGTATGAACCTTGTGAGAAACTCTGGACAGTTTGCAAACCTATGGCGAGCATTGAATAAGGGAAGAAAAGAGACGAAGGTGGTTAATCAAACCTTTTGTGTAAAAAGCAAGAAGTAGAAGAAGGTGTTTAGTCTTCCAGTAAAGAAAGACGACCCGGGAAAGAGAAATAGGCAGCCTCAGCTATTATCCGCCAAGAATCGTAGATTCATGGTTCTCTATCTCGTAGTCTAAATTATCAACCATATATTTTTTTCATTTTTCTATTAGAACAATAAGCTACACTAACTTCATTTAAATTATGAAGAACGAAATTCGAATTTGGATACAAATGGAGGGGTGCATCATTATAACCAATTTGGACAAGTCCCATTAATCATATCGTATAAAAATTGGCATTTTTTTAATTAATGATTTATTAGATCATTAGAGAGTTTGGTGATGTGTGATAAGGTGTTCTGATGTCAAAAGTGCAGTTGATGTTGGTTGGAACTTGGAATTAATGTTGTTCAAAAGGGATAACAACATAGCCAACTGATATCCAGTCACTTAGCATTGTTCCAAATGCAATACTTGTCTCCAAAATAGTACAACGATCCAAGCTCAATAGACTCATCACGGTGTGAGGCGTAATCTTTGTTCGGCAACCCAAGAAAATATCCAACTTAACGTGTCCAGTTGTGGACAATCACATATTCAATGCGAGGTAATTGTGTTGTCAACACGTTCGATGTTCGCATTCTGACATGATATCAAAACATATTATTCACGTGTCAGATTCAATATTAAATTTCAAGCATCTATTTTGTGTTAAACTCTAATTGTATGGCAATACATTCCTAGTGTTTGCAAAGCAAAGTTGAAAGCCTTGACTAGTATAGTTTTTCACTTGGTTTAATGAATAATTAAAGTTCATTTTTGTATGACACTTGCAGTTTTTGGACTCGTTCATACTCATTGGAGGTCCACGTACTCCAAATTTCCCTTGAATATTTCAATATTGCATGCATATGGTAGGCTGGAAAGGGATTTGCAGCAGCTACCCATGAAGAAGTAGCTAGAAATTAATCAATGCATGAAATATCTCTGTGGGATTAGAACTGATTAGGTCAACAGAAATATGGATGTTGACGATGTCCTTGACTTCACTCGATGGCTGAATATTCATCTGATCCCTTTTAATACACGTATGAATCTAGAAATTAACGATCTAGTTAAGTTGTCTAATTAAAAAAACTCCAAAATCATTATTTTTTTTTTCCGAACCAAAATAATTAATTAGATTGTCTAATTAAGCTTTCAAATTTGGACTGTGTCAACCAAAGAAATGAGAACAAAACTCAGAACACCCCAATAAAAAAATTAAAAAAAAAAAAAAAAAAAAAAACTAATAAGGGCTCTTAGGCCCAATTGTGCTATAGAGGCTCATGTAAACACGAAAAATTCCTGAAACAATAACATGTGTACAAAGTAATATTTTGTATTAATGATTTTGGGGTTACAATCTCTTTGTAATTTGGTCCTCTGATTCGATCTCCGTAAGATGTTGGTTTGTTGACGTATTGTTGATCCAAGGGTTGTCGAGGCTTAATCTTGGATGAACAGTTGGAAGTTTCTTCAAGGGCCGTCGGGGTTTGATCTTGAAAAACAGGGATGAACAGATCGTTGAGGGTTTTTGGGCTTGATCTTGAAGTTGTTAATCCAAAGGGCCGTTGGGGCTTGATCTTAGGATGAATAGGTGGGAGCTCCTTCAAGGGCTGTCGAGGCTTGATCCTTGAATAATGGTTGTGCGGATTTCTTCAAGAGTCGTCGGGCTTGATCTTGAAGGTTGATGGGGCTTTTGGGCTTGATCTTGAAGAACGGTTGGATGTGTGGATTTGTTGATGTTGTTGATCCAAAGGGCTGTTGGGGGTTAATCTTGGGATGAACAGATGATGAACGATGAACGCTTTCTTCAAGGCCCGTCGGGGCTTGATCTTGAAGAATGGTTGTGCGGATTTCTTCGAGGGCTTTTGGGCTTGATCTTGAAGGTTGATGGATGAGCGGATCTTCAAGGGCTTTTGGGCTTGATCTTGAAGAACGGTTGGATGTGTGGATTTGTTGATGTTGTTGATCCAAAGGGCCTTTGGGGCTTGATCTTCGGATGAACAGATGATGAACGATGAACACTTTCTTCAAGGGCCGTCGGGGCTTGATCTTGAAGGAGGATTTGATGAAGAATGAAGAACGAAGAGAGCTTTCTTGATCCTTTGGGATTTGCTTGAGAGCTTTAGAGTTTCAAAGCTTCAAGGTTTTGGTGTGATATCCCCTTCCCCCTCCCCTTGAGGGAGAAGGCTATTTATAGGCCAAGAGAATGAATCACCACCACCTTTTTTTTTTTGGTGAAGTGAGTGGATGTTGTAGGTGAAATAAGTGTGTGTGAGGTTGGTGAAGTGAATAAAGGTTGTAATTTTAATACATTGGTCAACATTTATTTCACTGAAATTTCAATATCTACAGTTCAGAGGCTTTAAAATTTCAAGGCCGTTCCAAATTTATAATTTGATTCATTTTTCAAAGTCTATTTGCACCATTAGTTTTTTCTTTGGGCAGAGTTTCCATTGGATTGTGTATAGCTTAGGAGGAAGCATATTATGCCCTCTCTTATCCCACAATGGTAGATCTGTCAAACAAATCATGTTTGTCATATTCATATCATTTTCATGTTATATTCTTTATCTTAACGGATAATATTGTGCCATTTGTTATTTTAACAGATCTTAACAAGTGACCCGATAACATCGCGACTCGTTAACGGGTCATGTCGTTTCGTGTCCGGTAAATGGGTCATGGAAGAAATTCTATGTCTAACGTCTAGACCTTGTAAATGGGTCATGTTTGTGTTGTTTATGTGTCATACTTGTTATTTCAATAGTTCTTAATGGGTAACCTGATAATAACCCGCTCATAACAGGTTAACTCAATACCTTTTATTTTCGTGTCGTGTTAATGAATCATGTAAGACATTGACAAGCCTACACAAGGCACGGGTTCTTTAATAAAAAAATTGAGATGACAATGTTAAGCCTACACATCACACATATATGGTTTAGTTAGTAGAAGGATAAGAGTATAAGAAGTCCTTTCAACTGAATACTCCTAGGTTACAATACTCACACAAAAAAAAATAATAGTTTCTTTTTTATTTGACAAACGATGAGATATTTACATAATATACTTTTACAACGGACCTTCTAATCTACCCATAATAATTCCCAATGGACCACAACTTAGTATTTGCTTTCTTGACATAGTTCAGAGCCGCATCATAAAGAATATTTAGAGCTTGAGAAGTTGATCTACGAACCATTCCAGTCCTGTAAGACAAATTGTAATTTTAGAATTTGGCCAGACTCACAATTTGACAAGTTGTATGCTTATGATGGAGTTGTATGCTCCCAAAGCTGATTTGGAGTTGTAATGCATACAAAAGTTGCTCCATGAGTTGTAGGATTCAACCCCCATCAATAATATTTCCTGGATCCATCGTTGATCACCATATATGAAATATATATATATATATATATATATATATATATATATATATTCCTTCCCAAAGGAGATATAGTTGTAACAATTTTTCTGCGCCAAAATCCAAAAAAATAAGACCATGTTGGGGGAAAATTTGGCATCATTTGGCAGCTTATTAGGAGCTGTAAGATTCATCACATCATATGCAAGGTTTTTTCTTTCCTGTATTTTTGCTTTTTGACAAATAAAAATAGATGTTTGATATGCAAGTTGTTTCTCTTATTCCTGTGAATTGTGAAGGCAAATACTTTATGCATAAAGCAACAAAATAGGCAGGTAACCAGCACAGACTCCTTTATCACTTTTTAATTTGATCATTTTCTTCCTTCTGAATCCTGCAGGGTCAAGTCCCCCACTTCTCCCATTTGCTCTAACTCCAAGGCATGAACGCATGATTGATGACATATCAAAAAGCAAATTGTCCCTCCTGTACCAACACTTTCACATGAAATTAGTACAATTAAAAATTATTTTGATTCTTTCAAATTACAACAATTTTCCTACTATGAATGATGATTTGTAATTTATGATTTTTTTTACGTGCAAGAGTATATTTATGTCAATGAGGTTAATAAAATAAATTAGTTTCAAATTCATTATTCTCGATATTTAAATTTAAGACATTTTACTTATAAATAAATAAAAATATCATTAAATCATGGTACTGGATAACTTAAATTTATAATTAAACAAGAGAAAAAACCACTACAAACAAACAATTGCTTGACATATGACATAAATGGTAGATCAATTTACCTATATTTAAAATAAATATTAAATGGGTTTAATTGCACCAATGATCCCAAAATATTTACTCCATTCTCACTTTAATTAGTCCCTTAATTTTGTTTTTGAATTTTGTGGTTCTCGAAATTTATCATGTGTCTCAATTAGACCATAGGTCGTCGGATTTGTTTCATTTTCTATGTGATCATGTGTTGTGCACATGATCTACTTTGTAACAACATTTTTAGATTTCTCTTTTTCTTTCATCTTTCTTTCATCTTTTGTCATTCATGTCAAGAATTCTGTTAATTAATTCATTTGTCAACAACAGGTAGACGATTATTCAATATTATTAGATAACGTATCCACTTATTGAGATTTTCTCAGACAAAACGTCACATTTGGCTCTCGCAAATTTCTGTAATTTTTTCTCAAACGATGGATGAAATTTAGTAATAATAAAACGCAAATCAATACATTGGCATTAGAGCAGCTCCACTGTGGTATTAGCTATGGGGATTGGCACCAAATCCAATCCAATTGCCCCCAAAACTAGCTCCAGCCCATTCGAGCTATTAGGCTAAGAGGGAGCCCGTGGGAGAGGGCAAGCGGGAGTCCAAGGCCCGAGTGTCTGAGGGGAAGTGACGTCAGGCTGACGTCATCCACGTTATAAAAAAAATTACGTCAAGTGCGTGGGGGCGCATCTCCAGCTTATTTTCAGACAATGGGGTCTGCGTGACAACCCCACTCAGTCACTTTGAATCTGGACTGTTTGATTTCCAGATCAATGGTCTAGTTTTTTCGGCTTTAAAAAAAATCTAGAAAAAAAAAATCAGAAATGTTTGGGTGGGACACGTGTCTCATTCTGGACTGTTGGATTTCAAATTTTTTGTAATCCGACGGTCCAGATTAATTAAGTTAATAATTTAAAAAAAAAAACCTAATTGAAAATCCGAAAAAAATTTAAAAATTATAATTTTTTTTAATAAATACTTTAT